GAAAAATTTTTTTAGAAGTTGTTTTTTGAAGTAAATATATTTTTAAACTTTTTGTGTTGCGTACAAAGATATTTTTTACGTACTTTTTTTACCTTTGTGAGATTTTTTTAAATGTGATATTACTGCTTTTTGTAAAAACTTAAAATTCAAAACTTTTTCTGCAAAATATAATGTACTACATTATATACATTGATGTGATGTTTTTTAAAGATTTATTCAATAGATAGGAAATTCTTTTTTAGAAGTATTATATAAAATGAGAAAATAGGCTGCGAATGTCGCTTGAGTCGATCAGTGAACTGTATATAAATATACACCTCCTATATGTATATTATAGTGATGGGATCCAATTCGAGGCTCCAGAATGTTCATTCTTGAGATCCTCATTGTTATATTATCTATACAGAACAAAAATGTTCATTGTAAATATATGAACAAGAAGAGGAATATTTAATTTTTATACATTTTTTATACTCACTTTTTGTTATTGACGCTGTCTCTTGCTAGCACGACTAGTGCAGGGAATATCCTCATTTGCCATAAAAAAATCCGATTGATCGTGTAGATCTTCGAAATCCTCTGCACTGGACGATACTCTCAAACTTGTCTCCGATTGCTCTTTGTCTGCATCTTCTATTTCATTCTCATTTATTTCGTTGACGATTGTGCTCGTGCTATTTAAACAATTTCCATGACAGTTATTGCAAACTGTTGTGCAATTGATTCCTGCCTTCCTGCATCCACACATAGCTCCACAACCAGTTTTTCATTTGCAGAATATAAGATTTAATAAATTTTCGGGTGCAACAGGTTCCAGTGTTGTAATTGGAAGATCCATTTGTACACGTTTCCAGCCTCAAAGTTCAGGAGGCAATTCATTTCCCTGCCATTTTTTAACCTGATGGTACACTCGGAAAGAATGTTGCTTGGCAGTAGAGTCCTAGATTATCAGAGAGGCGCCAATTTGTTCCACTTCCTGATTGGTCGATTAAAATAGCCGCCATGTTAGAATACAAATGTCACACGTACAGCCTGACAGCTGTCAATCAAATGTGGTTGTGTTAATATTAAAAGTTTAAATAAGTGCATATTATAATTTCTTGTTACCACGGTAAGTAGAAATGTCTTATATATGTTATATATGAAGAAATTAAGCTGCACATATTTAAAACATATATATGTATATATGTGTATATATATATATATATATATCAGAATAGATGTACGATTTATACATACATATTAATTGTGAAAGACT